GAGTTGCCTGAAAGCAGTGAGATTCCCATTCTCTTATCCTCTAACATCCAAGGTCCTGGCTTTTGACCTTAACGTCCTGGAAAAGAGGGATCCTGAGTCCCCAGACTTTGAGTCCACATTGCCGCGTGGGTTTTCAAGAAACGCCTTCAAGATGAGCTCTCTGAATCATGGTTGCTCCATCCAGAAATACCCGAATCCAATCCAGCATTGGTTTTTCCAGTTCCTAAATTTCTGAACTCTAATTTCCTGCACACTTTGCTTTATTGAACTTCTGGGGGAACCCCAGACTTTCAAAACATCAACTGTTCAGTTAAAACATCACCAGACCCATTCTCTCCCAATCCTCATCTCATTTCCAGCCCTGGGATTTTTCTGCACTGTAATGAGCTTTGCGTGAACAATTTGGGGCTCTGCTTTTTTTCAGATAACATCATTTCATATACACATTCTAGCAATGAATTTATCGTTTTTAACAACCACAGCATATACTCCCATGTGCCCTGTCCTACATTTTCAGGTTTTTTGTTTTGTTTTTTTCCTTGAGGAAGATTCGCCAATCTAACATCTGCGCCAGTCTTCTTCTATTTTGTATGTAGGCTACTGCCACAACATGGCTGCCACCGAGTGGTGTAGGTCCGCGCCCGGAGCCAAACCTCAGGCCGCTGAAGTGGAGCACGCTGAACTTAACCACTAGGCCACGGGGCCGACCCCCATCTTCAGTTTGTGACTTATGGCCTTAGGGAAGTCCTGCCTTCTATGGGCCTCTCACCTCTTTATCTGTAAAACACGGTGATTTGGAAATTCTAAGGTCCTTTCCCAGCCTTAACATTCCGAGTGTCTGTGATTTCCCAGCTGTGGAATCCTAAATTGTAACCCTACCGTTACAATCCCCAGGAGAGAAAGAGAGACCTGACATCTGTTGAGAATTCACTAAGAGGTGGGAAAGCACTGAGGAAGAGAGGGGGAAGAGCGGCACCCCATTTTCTAACAAAAGCACAGTCTGGCCTGGCTGGGTGACATATACCCCTTTGTTCCTGGTCCAGCCTGGGCCGCCAGCCACATTAGGAAACGCGGAGCACTCTTCCTTCCTCACCCTATAGTGAAACCACAGCCCTCCAAGCCTTCCAGCCTTCCCCTCCCCTGGGTGACACAGCACTTTTGGAGCCCCAGCCCAACCCCTCCAGGCCAGCAGAATGCTGAGTCACGGTGGGGCAGCAGCTCTCCCGCCAACCCCACCTCTGGCCCCTCCGGCTCCAGGATGAGCCAGTCAGAAACATCCCGCCTGGCTCTTCTCTTCCCTGCAGCTCCTCCCGCCGCCTGCTGAGGTGGCTGTCCTGGGAGGCCAGCCAAACTCCCTGCCTCCTCAAAGTCACGAGGAGGAGCTGGAGGGCAGGGGGGCCCGAATCATGGTCAACAAAGGTCCAAAGATCAGGCAATAGCTTCGGAAGAATCTAGAGGCTTGGAGATGGCAGTTCTGACACCCAGGCTTCCCAGGTGGGGAACGGACCCAAGCAAACACACACACACACCCCCAAGCACAAGACTTCTCTTTCATTCTTCCCAGCCAGTCTTCCCCAGACACCTTCTACGGCCCAAGCTGTCCCTCAGATTTGCCAGGTTGGTCACTGCAGCTGCCTGTGTGCTTACCCAAGCTCGGAGTCAATATTGATTCATGAAACCTACTTTCTGCAACAGACCAAGCTTCTTCAGGTGGGTCCAACTTCCTGCTGGCTCTATCCTCCTGCATGTCCCGGAGGCAAAGTCCAAGTGCAAAAGCAAGCTGGCCTTCCCCAACCGCCTCCCCGACAGACTGTGTTTCCTCCTGTGCTCCCATTCTCAGGGAGCGGCAGCAGCAACCCAGCCACCCAGGCCAGAAAGCTGGGGGGCTCCTTTGCCCACCTCCCACCCCCCACCTCCACCTCCGACGTTCTTCAACCAGCCCCCTCATCCTGTCTGTTCTGTCTTCTCTTTCTCTCTCAAATCTGCTTTCTGAGAACTACTTGCCTCCCAATTGGTACCTGGTCATCTTGCCCGACTAATTCACCCTCCACCTTCAGTCATGCATCCATCTCTTCGCTCAACAAATACAGAGCACCAAGTAACAAGCATCCTGCAAAATGCCGGAAGTGCAGGAGGAAGAAGATAGAAACAAGGCCTGCCCTCCAGGAGCTTACAGTATACAGTAGCAGGGAAGACTATCAAAAAGTGATTTATGTCTGGATAACATATAATTATACGTACAAATATATGTCATATAGGATGGTTACTAATCTTCACTTCTTAACGAGCTACAAGTATCAACTCAGCTTGTCATTCATATTTTAACTTTGTTCATAGCATCTTTTGTCTTACAGCTTTTCTGGGGTTTTGTTGTATGATTTTATTTATATGAAATTCTAGAACACGCGAAGTTAATTACTCAACGTTGAAAAATATCAGAAGAGTGGTCGTCTTGAGGGGTATGGGGAAAATCTACCAGAATGGGATACAAAGGAACTTTCTAGCATAAAGGAAATGTTCTGTATCTTATTTCAGCTGTATTCCAGTGTCAGAACTCATTAAACACCTAATAGTCTGTGCGTTTTATTGTACGTCAATCATACCTTAATTTTAAAAAATTAAATCACTCATTTTTGCCAAGAAAAGGACAATTTTGTTGGCTTTTTACCTACTTGATTCCAGTCAGTTCCATATTCCAACAACGCTACCCACAATTTTTTTTCTAGATATGCCTCTCTCAAAGCCTGAACTATATGTGTTTTGAGCTTATCAAGCTCGTGTGGGACCACGCCCTTTGTTCTTTTCCCTGAGAGCTTTGTCCAACTGAAAGGGCTTACTAGGAACTGCCTTATCCATTCACACATTTTAACCAACTATGCAACAGCCATGCCCTTGATCTGGTCATTGTCCTGAGGATTCGTCTTAATCAGCCTTTGTTACTCAAAGTATTTCCCGACTTTATTTTTTACTGGTTGAAAAAGACAGAGTTCTAACTTCAACACTCCAAGTCTCAGAAATTTTGGATTCTCTATTTTCCTCGTCATTCCCGCTTGTAAATAGGCCACTTCTGGTCTAAATTCATCTCCGTCCGGTGATCACATGTAGCTGATAACTAAGGCACTCTAGTCAGATTCTTTTCTGCCATCTTGCGAAGTTTTGGAGCTCTTTCAGGAACTGGAGTGTCATTGACTTTCTCCTCTTTGGCAGATTCTTTATTTTCTGAAGACTGTGGCTTTTTTCTTTGGGGGTTCTACAGATGATCCTTCTTCCCCCCCCATCCTCTCTGTGGAGGCCGGGGTCCCCCTCTAGCTCCCACCCTCCAAGTCACCAAACCCCTCAGACTCCCAGCTTTTCATCTTTAAGGACAGTCATCTCTCATAGCCAGGACCCTTGCGGACACCAAAATCTACAGATGCTCAAGTCCCTTATATACAGTGGTATTTGCATGTAACCTACAAACATCCTCCCGTATCCTTTAAACCATCTCTAGATCACTTATAATACCTAATCCAATGTGAATGCTACGTAAATAGTTGTTATATTGTAACGTTTAGGGAATAATGACAAGGAAAAAAGTCTGTCCACGTTCAGGACAGACACAGCCATCGTAGGCTTTTTGATCCGCAGTTGGTTGCGTCAGCAGACGCGGACCTAGAGGGCCAACTGTAGTCAAATCTTCCAACTCTCCTTTTATGGCTTTCAACAGCCTCAGAAAAACACTTCCTACTCCAAAATTCTAAATGATAATCTTCTATATATTCTTCTAGTAACTTCATAGGTTTTTTTTTTTTAAGATCTTTAAGCCTCTATCTGGAAAGTATTTTGAAAATACAGAGTGAATCACTGTCTTCCACATGACTATCAACTGTTTCAGCAGCATCTGCTGAACCCATTTTTTCTCTCCTAATTTCAAATATCACTTTAGCGCCTACCAAATTCCCATACATAGGTGGGTAGGACTGTTTAGTTACATTGTTCCAACCATTAATTCCTGTGCCAGTACCAACCGCTTATGGTATTTTATAGCACTTTTTTTTTTTAATATCAGAGAGGGCAAATGTACCCTCGTAACCTTTTTCCCCCAAATACTTACCAGATATTCTATACACTCTTCCAAATGGACTTTAGAATCATTACGCCAAGTTCCAAAAGACCACTGCATTTTACAGAAATTCCATTGAACGTATAGGTTTATTTGGGAAGAATTAACATCTTTACAAAACTAAAGTTGGCTACCCAGAAACATGGTACCTCTTCACTTATACAAGTTTTCTTTTCTGTCCCGCAGTAAACATTTAGAGTTTTCTTCATACATTTCTTGTTAGCTTTATTCCTCGGTGCCGCAAACTTTTGCTGCCAATGTAAACCAAAAGAAATTTCTTTTCTTTCATTACATTTTCTAACTGGAAGTGGCTGTTATATAGAAAAGCTTTGCGACTTTGCTGTACTCTTATCCTTAATAGTTTTTCTGTTGATTCAGCATAAGGTTTCGAAAAATAAAACTAACGTGGTATCTCCCTGGCTAGAAATCCCTTCGTGTCTCCATATCATCCAGGATAAAATTTAATCCCCTTTTACGGCACACAACCTTCCTGACCTTGCCCTATACAACCCTTCTGGCATTTTCCAACGTGGACTCTATGTTCTGGGCCAACACACTTTCTTAAGGTACTTTGGACAGGCTGTGCTTTTCCACACCTTTGCAAATGCTGTTCTCCAGGCTTGGAATTCCCTCTCCCATCTCCTTCCTCCACTCACCTTCCTTTTAACTTTGCCAAACTTAAGTGTCCCTTTCATATGGAGGGCTTCCCTGACCTCCTATCCCAGACTGGGTAAGGCCCCCCCTTGTCTGGACTCTCCCGGCATCCTTCTGCTTCCTTTATGATAGCTCTAGCCCATTAAATTTTTTAAATTAAAAAAAAAAATTAATGTCCTGAAAGTATCCTATGTTCATTTTGAAATGAATCCCGTAAAGACCCAAGAAAGAGAAATCGCCATAATTCCATCAGCCACTTGTTTTAATATTGTAGCAAAGCTCCTTCCTCCTTGAAGGTTTGGAAGTCCAGCTTCCAGGGGGCACGTTTGTGAACATTTTGAAAAGGGCCTTGGGTAGGTCCCCCACCCACATGTTGATGGACCTGGCTAAGGACAGGGGACCTCGAAGCCAGCAGACTGGACGGCAGGTGCTCGGGCCTGGCTCCAGTTCTGCCACCCACGAATTCACACCCTCCGTGCCTGGGACACAGCTGCGAGCCACACGCAGTGGCCCTGCCCCTTCAGGGTCCCTGGCGCCCGAACGCGTGTTCAGCCCCAGCGGCTTCGGTCCAAGGGCAGCCCTGGGGGGTGGCTCCCCGGAGGGGCTCCTCGGCTGGAGGCTCCTGTGACTGGGGCGAATAAAAGAGGCTGTTTCAAAATGGCCTCACTGACATCTTGATCTCCAGATCCAAGGGGCTTCTCCTTTCTTCTCTAACGCCCATCTCTGTCTGAGTTTTAAGCGCCACCGGCGATTTTCTCAGGATCCCGCGGCTCACCCCCAGGACCCCCTCGGGGCAGGCGGCCTCCGAGCCTCCCGAGTCTCTAGGGAAACAAGGCCCGCCCAGCCTTTGTTGTATAAACTGCACACGGAGCCATCTTTGCTTTCTGCAAAAGGCGGCCCGGGGGCCCGGGGTCGGGAGGGCGGGGGCCGATCGAGGGCAGTGGGCTCCACCCCGCCCCCACTTGCTCCTCGTAGACTTGGAGGAAGAGAAAGTGAACCCCGACCCACTCGGCCTCGTAGGACCCACGTCTCCACCTTCCCAGTTCCCCATCTGCATCACGAGGCAGTCACCTGGGGGTGTGGTGACTGCTCTGATTTTGAACGTGCCCTTGGCCAAGAGTCTCGGGGTGCCCGTTTGCGCCCCCCGTGCCCAGAGGCGGTTTCCCGTCGGTTCCACGACCCAGGACGCCCCTAGGGTCAGGGCTCCGAGCTGGGCCTCCCGCCCCTCCCCAGCCCTTCCCTCCAGCCCCACCCAACGGGCCACAGCTCACAGATCCTTCCCCGGGCCCCCTGCTCGGGGACCGCTCCGCAGCCCCAAGACCGCCCCGCCCGCCCCTCCCCCAGCGCCCGGCGGGGCGGGGCCGCGCGCCCCCGGAAGGGGCGGGGCCTGGCGCGCGGGCGGGCGGCGTGATTGGCCGGGGCGGGCCTGACGCCGGCTCCCGCTATAAAAGCCCGGCGGGCGGCGGCCTGCGCCACAGTCTTCGTCGGAGTTGCCGAGGTTTCCTGCTTCAACAGTGCTTGAACGGAACCCGGCGCTCGCTCCCCGCCCCGGCCGGCCACCCAGAGTCAGCCCTCCTCCACCTCCTCACAGCGCCCTCGGCCCGCCGCAAGGCTCCCGCCGCCGCTCCAGCGCCGCCCCGCCGCCGCCGCCCTCTCCTCTCCTCAGCCGTCCGCCATGACGACCGCGTTCCCCTCGCAGGTGCGCCAGAACTACCACCAGGACTCGGAGGCCGCCATCAACCGTCAGATCAACCTGGAGCTCCACGCCTCCTATGTGTACCTGTCCATGGTGAGGGCGAGCGCGGCCTCCGGCGGGCGGGGCGGGCGGGGGCGTGGCCACCGGGCGGCGGGGCGGGCGGGGGCGTGGCCTCCGGGCGGCGGGGGCGGGCGGGGGCGTGGCCTCCGGACTGGCTCTCCCGCCTCCGCGCTCGCTTCGGGAAGATGGAGGCCGGCCGAGGTCCCCGGGACTTACCTTGCGCAGAAATTCTGGGCATTCCGCGCTTTCCGATCGTCCCCTGGGGGGGGGGGGGGGCGGATGGGGCAGAGGGCCGCCTCTGCGCACCCCTCTATATGTAAAGAGAGCGGCCTTCTGGAGATCCCGGGGTTGCCCCCTCTGTCATCCTGCAGTTGGCAAGGTGGACTTTGGTGTGTCCATCCCTTCCTCTGCGTCCGATCACGTGTCCCTGAGGCTCTCGGTTTGCTTGGGTAGTTGGGGATAAGAGGGCCAGCTTCCATCGCCCGGGAATGGCGGAGCCTGCTGGGTAATGGCGTCGAGCAGCAACCTTGGGGGCTAGCGCTAGGCGGCTTATCTGCCGTGGGCGGCCACTCCCGAGCAGCTGCCCCCACCCCTCTGCTTATCTCGAAGTCCCGCTGGAATTGCAGCCTATCTACACATCTCCTCTTCTGTCGGCAGAGTTGTGTCAGTCCCGCGTCTGTGGGCCTGGGTGCTTATTTCTTCATCCTTTTTGTGTCTGAGAGTCCTGGCCCTCTATCCGAACCCTTAGTCCTTGGATAAAGTCCCCCAGCAGTTAGCGGGCAAGGAATTTTTCCATGCAGTACGCAGTGGAATTTTCGTTTTCCCAAAATCCTAGTTTTAGGCGATTAGGTGGGAGTTTTAGTTAGAACTGCCTTATGATTGTGCAGATTATCCAGGAATAGACGTGTTCCGGATGGATTTGAAAACAGGCCTGGATTTCTGGGAACTGCCTTTCCATTTCAGGAACACCTGAAAACACAGCAAGTGTCTGAAACGGAATCATTTTTGCTTTCTACTGGCAATATGTTTCCGTACGTTAGCATTGCCCACAGCTGTCGCCTTGCCTAGTGGGTTAATTTTAGAAAGCCATGCATCTGCCGTGAGCTGGCAAGCTCGTGTTTGAACACGGATTGATCAAGGAGGCGGCACTAACAGTGCAGGGTGAATATTTCAACACCTTCTCTTCAATCACATTTGACACGGGCTGTCAGAGGTTTACTTTGCGCTAATGCAGATCCTTAAGACATTGCATGCTGGAGGCAATTGTGATATCCTAAAGGTTCCTTAGAGCAAACTTTGAATTCCAAGGACCAAGTTTCATTTTTGTACTTCAGAGTGGAAACTAGTTACTGTGGTGTTCAGTCCAGGACCCCAGGCTGCCCCCGATCTCCTTAGGCACAGACCCCCCCCCACCCCCCCCCGGGCTTTGAGAAAGGAGGGCTAGGCCAGCAGACTGCCTTCCTTGGGACAGCCCTAACAGAACACATTCGTGTTCCCCTTTCAGTCTTTCTATTTTGATCGCGATGATGTGGCTTTGAAGAACTTTGCCAAATATTTTCTTCACCAATCTCATGAGGAGAGGGAACATGCTGAGAAACTGATGAAGCTGCAGAACCAACGAGGCGGCCGGATCTTCCTTCAGGACATCAAGGTGAGCAAAAGATCCTAGGGACATCATGCTTCATCATCTCTCTAGCAGTCCTCGGGTGTCAGAGATCACCCAGAGACTGACAGTTGCCCTTAAGCAATGAGGATATATTTGGCTTCCGTCTTTTGTGCTTTTTTAGGCCTGCTGTCTAAGCTACAGTAGGCACACAGTAACAGGCAAGGAGGTTACATTGGGAATTGTCACCCAGGGAAATGTGGTGGTTCCTTTGGCTGAAGCACAGTGGTTACGTGGTAGGTGCTTGCTGACTTGTCATGATTTAATAGGTAGAGACTGCAGATGCATTGACCTAACCATCTCTCGTTCAGAAACCAGACCAGGATGACTGGGAGAATGGGCTGAAGGCAATGGAGTGTGCATTACACTTGGAAAAAAATGTGAATGAGTCACTATTGGAACTGCACAAACTGGCCACTGACAAAAATGACCCCCACGTGAGTATTGGCAACTTGGGAGTAACTGGAGGAGATGGTTTCCCAGCCTTGGGCTGAGAAAGCTTCCCCATTAACTTGCTTCCCCATTCTGTTCTCTAGTTGTGTGACTTCCTCGAGACTCATTACCTGAATGAGCAGGTGAAAGCCATCAAAGAATTGGGTGACCACGTAACCAACCTGCGCAGGATGGGGGCCCCCGAATCTGGCATGGCAGAGTATCTCTTTGACAAGCACACCCTGGGAGAGTGTGACGAGAGCTAAGTCTCAGGCCAGCTTCCCTCAGCCACCGGGTGACTTCCCTGATCCACCGAGGCAGTGCATGCATGTTGGGGTTACCTTTACCTTTTCTATAAGTTGTACCAAAACATCTACTTAAGTTCTTGGATTTGTACCATTCCTTCAAATAAAGTAATTTGGTACCCAGCTGTTGTCTTTGAGTTCTTGGCATGGGCTAGAAACGTGTCTAAGCCATCTTTGCTAGATCTGTGATCATCACACTAATCAAAATGAGACACCTAGGAGGATTTGTATTTATTAAACTCCTTAGTTTCGGAAAGATACCAAGGCTTGGGTGTGCTGAATTCAGAGAGGGCTTGAGGACTCCTGATTCTGAATTCGATGCTTTGAATTAATATTTCCAGTAGCTTGTTCTAGCTATGTTAGGTACAAAAGGCATTTAAAGGCTGAAGTAGTCCTGAAACTACTGATTTTTCTTGTCCATTAAGCTAACCCATTTAATTCAGGCTGTCATGGGAATATATTCTTCAGTGTGGACAGCTATGTGGCTATGACTGGATCAGTGTCCCGCTGGTGTACACGCAGGTAGGACCAGGCCGGTGAAGCATCCATCTCCCGTGGGAAGCAGGCTTAGGAATGTGCTTCATCCCTGGTGAGAATTTGAGAAAGTTCACAACATGAGTATGGAAAAACCTTATTTCAATACTAACAGCTGCAGTAGAAGGGCAAGGGTGGAGACGTCTTAAATCTTAAGACCCAAGGGTAGCTTCAGGAGGCTGCAGCCACCTGTGTCCTTGCTAACAACTACATTAATGTCCTTTCCTAAACAAGGTGATCGGTAAAAGTTGGTCTAGCCCTACAAGCAAGACAAGATTATGGCCCTTTTAAGTTTTCAATCACAGAGCTGTGTATTCTGACCACAGAAGCAACTGCGAATCTAGAAATGGGAAGTTACACTTCCCCCCTACATCATGAGTGGGGGTGGGGTAGGGTGGGTCTAACTGGGTGAGTATCCAGGAAATCAAATAAAGGGAAACATCGGGCAGTTTTGTGACAGCTTTGGACTGACCTCAAGGAAGCATAAAGCACATTTAGGTTCAGAAGCCTTTTCGTGAGGTCCCCAAGGTAGTAAGTTACCCCCAAGGGACCTGGAGCCTCCCCATCTGCCAGTTCCCGGGGCGGGGGGGGTGCCACCCTTTCCAGGAGTGCTTCAGGACCCCTGTGGGTGCTTGTGGGGGAGTGCTCATAGGCCATCTCCCAGCTAAGCCTGGGCAGAGAGTTGAGATCTGGGGCTACAGCCTAGAGCCCCCAGTTCTGCCCCACAGTTCTGTGTCTGCCACCCCTGCTCAGAGTGAGCTGGGTCCAATGATAACATCTGCCCACCCAAACCTGTGCTAGTAGCCCTTTCTCCAGCATCACTCCTGTCAGTGCCCCCTCATCTTCCTTCACCTGGGTTCCAGGGAAGTCTTGGTGATGTCAGGCTGTCGGGTTTAATGAGCAAAAGTCCCCAACACGTCCCCAAGGCCCCTACTGAGGTGGCCAGGTATGTGCCCCAAGCCAGTGCTGGGCACACATGCTCTGGCAGTGATGGAACCGTAGGAAATGATGCAAGAAGAGTAGGCTCAGAGCAAGGGAGGCTGGTGAGGGTTAACAAGGGAGGGGAGGCCGTGCCCTGGGTTTGGGTAGAGGACAGACCTGTTTTCCAATGCCCAATAGGGATCGCCATGATCTCTGAGTATGGTGTGTATGTTGCTTGTCGACTGTTCCAAATGTGGTTCTCTGAGATGACATTCGGGGGCCTCTGACATATCCGTCAGATTAAATTCGACAGTTTTCCTCTTCAAATGACACAATTCTGGGTGCTCCATTGAGGCCCCAGGACTCTCTGGGAGCACTTCAAAACTCCTCTTGGTCCCAGGCATCACAAGCTGTAGGCTTTGATCTTTGACACTGCCGTCTATGCCTGAGACTCTGCAAAGACTGGAGGGCGCTGACTGTCCGGGTGGGAAGATCATAGGCGTGTGGCTGAGCGGTGTCTGGGGGGCGCTGTGGTAGCCCGACCTCCCATACAGTGCAGCGGACTTGAAGGCGTCCTCCCCCCTAATCTTCCAGGCCTTGCTGTCTTCCTGGTCCCTAGAGTTCTGTCTGGCCCCCCCGAGGTTCTTGAGCTGGCCCTCATGGAGAAGGACTTCTTTCTTGGGCCACAGT